GCCAGGGCTCTGCCAGGATGCCATACGGCAGACGGGGTCTGAGCTGAGGTAAGACCACGCGACAGCATGCAGTGCCCACACGGGCGGCAGTGTCACTGTGTGCACTGGACTCCACACTGGAGCACTGGGGAAAAGCAGGGAAGGCCTGCGGAGCTGGCCAGACACACAAGAAGATCTCTCATTATGGAGCTTACCCAATCGACGAGGGCACGGCAGCCAATCAGAACAGGCACAGCAGCCAATCAAATTGGGCTCTAAAGCCAATCAGCCATGGCATTTGAGAAACCTGGACATAGTAATGAGGGTAATAGCTTTAGTAAGCAAAACTGCCAGAGGAACATGTGGGAGGCAAGAAAGTGCCATTTCTGCATAGGAATGAGGTGCCTGTGAAACTCACAGCTTCACATACAACCCCCCCCCCCCATGACCATGGACTGGATTAGTGGCTGGAAGGAGGGTTATCATATCTAACCTCCTGTATTTTATGCTTTTATGAAAAGTTAGAGGACAAACACCACCAAGGGAAATCATTTGCAAACAAAGGAACAAAGGAAATAAAGATTTATGCTTATATACATCAGCAAACTTTATGAGAATTTTCCATCAAAAAGGTTGCAAATAATCTGTTTGCTGGCTGCATGCCTGTGTGTGTTTTGGGGGGGGGGGCATTTAAACTTTAAAACTTAAACTTTTTGTTAGTCTGCAGTCAGCAGATCTTGATTGAAATCCGAATGAAAGTACGTTTTGTCGCTGTACTTGTTTATCCTGCAGTTCTCTGCCTGGCAGCTGCAGTGTAGAATCGGTCCAGTGCGTGTCGAAAACCACATGCTATTTTGAGATGTCATTCCACTAAAACTGAAATATTAATTTCTCCTTAGCAAACTATCTGTCGCTGCCTAGCCAGAAACACGCAGTCATCCCGACTCTCTCGGACGTTCCGGGAGTCTGCCACAAATTGACAGCAGCTCCCTGACAGCTGAACGCGATGCACAGTGTCCTGGAAACATGTTGCTTTGATATTCAGGAGCAGTCAAATTAGCTGACAAGAAGTTTTACTGCTGCAACAGCTACTGACGGGATCCGTGAGATCGACCCGATGGTAGCATACCTGCCCACAACGACGAAAATGCAGACAAACAACATGACCCTCTGCAAACACACATGTTTCTGGAACGGCGACCATCTCTCTCCCTCAAGAATCAACTTCACTTACAAATAGCCTCTGGTGTGGGCTAGACTGCCCCGCCTTAGGGTTCAGGGGACTTACAATAAACCCCATCATTCATGATGCAAATTTCCTTTCTTTTCCACAGCTAACAGTTTGGCTGTGACTGGCAGCTGCGGTTTGGGATCCCGCGGTGGCTGAACAGCACGTTAATCTCACGCTAAAACCCCGTCATGCGGCCCAGCCAGTTCTCGTTCACGCTTCACAAGCACAGCCTGCTGTCAGGCACTGGAGGTCCAAGCCACGGGAATCGCGACGTTCCTGAAGGGGCCGGTGCCAAGGGGCAGCCGCGAGGGAGCAGCTAATGCTAACGATAGCGCTACTTCTTCTGTGTCCTCTGCTTCTTCTCCTCCATCCTTCATTTATATGACATTTGTTCAGGAACACATCTTTAAGGAAACTACGGGAAGATAAGCGGTTTACACAGGACACGGTGACAGGTCTTTGTAGGAAGCTGACATCATTCAGAGCAGGCATGGCCCCCACCGGGGGGGAACATACGGGGTGCACCACCGGGCTTCTGGGTAAACATTTCCTGTGGACACCGCAGCCAGTCCACCTTTCATCACTGAGTGTCTCGTGTCATGCGACATACACCACACAGCGAGGTCACAGAAACTCCGTACTGGGATCTGAACCTGGCGGGGATGCTGCTTAGCTGCGAGGGTCAGACTTTGTGAACCAGTGAAAAAGTCACAGCCTGTTGTAAGTGGCCAGCAGGTGGAGTAGCAGTTAGCGATGTAGAATCGTGAGGGACTTCATTCCTGTGAGGAATAGGGGTAGTTTTCTCAGTATCGAGGTGACAGTAAGTTTTGGCATCAGAGGGGAGAGTCAGCCAGCACCTGGCATCGCTGGAACAGTTGGGGTTAAGGGCCCTGTCCAGTGGGGATACGATTATGCTGCCGAACATGAGACTTAAACCCACAACCTTCTGGACATGGGTACAGACTCTCTAACTTGCTGAGTTACATGCTTTACTTATAACAGGCAGAAGCCAGAACTATAAACCACAAGCAGACTCTTCCAGATGCTATAAGCACAACTGCTATGCAAAGCAGGTTTGGAAAGGGACCAACGGAATCCAAAAGACTAAGAACAAATTATTAAAAATGATGCTGACTGGTTGTGATGATGGTCAGGGTCCAGCCTAGGAGCACAGGTGAGCTCAGTATCACGTCACTGGCTGCACGGATAGCCATAGCACATGGTCCCACCCACATCCTGGGAACCAGCGTTCGGGCTGCGACCCACACATGCACTGAAGATGAGGCCCTTCTGCCCTGGATACTGATTGGGTCATGATCTGCAACTGGCCCGGATTCTCTCGTGGCTGTTTACTGACCAGCTCAAATCACACGTGCCCAGCACAAGCTGTGCAATCCCAGGGTGTCTCACCAGGTGGCGATGTGCCCTCACACTGCCAGCACTGCAGACTCTGGGTGTGAGAGGGGTCTGCATGACCTCCCCCCGGTCCAGGAGGCTGATGCCCCCTGCTGTTTGTGTGCGGTATCCCCACCGTGTCCCTGTCTGGATACATGTAACAGATGCTCTCATAGAGAAAAAGGCCAGGCCGCATTTGGAAGCTGTGCTAAGGGCCACATACTTTTTAATAAGGGCTAATACAAGAGGGAGATCCACTGCCTGATTGGCTGAAATAAACACGTTGCCAGGTTACCGCCCCAAACATAGCAGAGAGCATCCAATCGAAGAGCATAGTGTGTGTGGTGGGAACGGGGGGAGGGGGGGGGGGTAGCCGGGTGCGCCCCGGGGCTGTGCGTACGAGGGGGCGGGAGCAAGCGGTGCTGTTTGGACTGGTGTGTCTGTGTTGATCCAGCTTTCAGGCTGGTTTTCCTCGACAAACACCGTAGCACCCGCCCACCCGCTCTCAAGCATGGGGGCCGGGGGGGGGGGGGGGGGGGGGGGGGGGGACAGGGGGAAGGCCAGGGGAACATGGGACAGCACGAATGGGGGAAAGGAGAGCTTACTTCTCTGTCATCTGTACAGGTACATTAGAATGTGTTAGTATTATCATACCCCATCACACACACACACACACACACACACAGGTGAGAGTGAAGCTTGGCGTCTGAGCACATGGTTAGCCGTCCATCCAGCCCCCCCTGGACCATTTTTGGAGGTTAAGGGCCCTGATAAGTATAACAAGGACTTTGCTACCCTTCTGAGTATGAGATTCAAACCAGCAACCTCCAGGCCGAAGCCACTAAGACACACACCACCCCCAGCTTATTTTTGATAGTAAAAAACACGAACAAAAAAAGTCACTAATCTGAGTATCCTGCATACCCAGGGATACTGTCCCCTTTTCATGGTGTTTTCAGCACTCACTGTCACGCGGAGCTTGTTGCATACCTGCACATAGCAGGTCAGTACCAAGGGGAGGGGTAACAGATGTTGTGCTGGCTAGGGGAGGGGCTTAGGAAGGGGGCGTGGCAACAGGCTCCCACTGCAGCGGGTGAGACAGAAACACAGGGCCCAAACATCCAGAGCAGGGCGTTGGGGTTAAAAGCCAAATGGGCCGAAGTTAGGAGTAAGGTGTGTGAGTGACCTGTTTGATTTTATTGGCGTGTCTGTGCCAGGAATCCCTTCCTGCTGACTGGGATGACGATGGAGGAACAGCAGCACGTGAAAGCTGTACAGGCTAACTTCTGTGCCTCAGTCTTCCTTTTCCACACAGGCACTGAACAGGACATCTATGTGCAGATCGCAGGACCCACAGGACACCCCAACACCATGGGCTCTGCTCTCCAGCTCAGAGCACTGCTTTGACTGTGCAGCAGTAATGCATGCTTGATGACCACAGAATAAATAAAGTAAGAGATCGTTCATTGTTTGGGTTGATGATTGGTGAGTGAAACCCATTGGAGGTGATGACCACACATACCGCACATAATCTGTGAATCTGATGGGGCCAGATTTAGGGCCTAACCCCTGTGTCTTCCTCCTCCTAAAGTGAAGCACAAAGACAGAGACAGGCCAAGGGTCCCGCCGTGATGCTCACAGGCTCCGGTCCCCGCCGTGACATTGACAGGCTCCAGTCCCCCCAGTGACACTCAAAGTCTTCGGTCCTCGCTGTGACAGTGACAGGCTCCGGTCCCCAATGTGACAATGATGGGCTTCAGTCCCTGAGGCAGAAGGGGGGGGGTCCTTTCCTTGCCATTTCATTAGTATTTATAAATCACAGGCCCACATTATACAGCCCCTCATGAATCTGATAGAGGCTAAATCCCATAAGCAAATGTGGGCTTACCTGAGAGCGTGCGAGGTGGCAGTAGGATGCCGCTATGCAAATCCCAACCCACAAACAGCTCCTATCATTCATAAACCGGGGAGCGATTTCATTCACGAATCACTCAATGGGATGAGTATGGGCATCGCAGTGGGGGTCATGGGAGGGGGGCTAGCTCTGCTGCCAGCAACTGGGGCAGAGGGGATGCCTCAGGATGAGAAATGCTGCAGCGACGACGACTCTGTGCCTTCCATCATATGGGTCAGGCCATGGGGGCAGGGGTTGGTGGCTGGGGGGGGGGGGGGCGGAGGCACAAACGGGGGGGTCGAGTCATTAGAGTAATGAGAAACGCCCCTGGCACAGACAGTCACACACAGCGTGTTTGCTCAGGTAAATAGGGCCTCCTTATAAATAGGGGAGTGTGTGGGATAGGCATTCCTTCAGTGCACGGCACACACACGCACACACAGGCGTGCGCAGACACACCCTCCGCACCCGGGGACTCGTCGATAAGCCGAGAATGACAGGCGCCTCACGCCCCCACAGCCTCGGGAGCCAGGCGCGTCGCTGAACCTCCACAGGCGGGGTATTCCAGGGAGCCAGCCCGCGCACCGGGTCCTCACAGGGTCACGACCGCACGGCCTGGAAGCCAGCCTGCACACCGGGGACACGACTTCATACCCACGGACGGGCCGCAGACACACACCAGCAACAGCTACCAACGGATACAAGTCAAACGAGGATCCGCTAAGGTAGGAATGTGCTCCAGGACTGCCGCTATGATTCCTTACATCCCGGCAGGAATGTGGACTGGCCAGGTGGGATCAGACTCCGCTA